CCTTCCTTCCTTCGTTTACTTACTTTCTTTTCGTTCCTACCTACTCTCTTTCGTTCTTACTTACTTCGTTGTTTTGTTCGTACCTACCTCTCTCTCTCTCTCTCTCTCTCTCTCTCTCTCTTCTTATGGCGTTGGCATATTAATCCCACATCGAGCGTAGCCAAGAGTTACAGGGAGCTTAAAAGTTATAAAAGGTGAGCCGAATGAGCTGCTGAGGGCGTGCGAGGCACACATGGTGAAGACCTTCTCAAAGGGTGTGGACCACCCCTTAAAAGGGGTTCTTAAAATGTTTAAAGTTTGAATTGTGAGAAAATACATAAATTAAAGGAGGGAGGGCCAAGTGCCGCCCATCTTAAAATGCAAAATTACCAAATAAAAAATAAAAACAAAAAATAAGTATTAAACAAGACTTTAAAATAAAGGCGGAATGCCAGGCCCGTTCACTGTCAGATTATGTCAATGAACCAGTAGGTTCATAGGGGGAGTCAGTCGGTTCCCGATATATTGGGGAACCAGGTCGGCTCTACCGATATCAAATCCAGATCAGGCGATTCCAATCCGGATCAAAGCGATTTTTAAAACCTTGATACAAAGTAATGGACCAGCCAAGGAGACTATAGCTGCAATATTTATGCAAAGGAGGAGCCAATAAGAGAATTATCGGGATACTATAGACTAGAGATGTGATATGAAGATTCATTGCCCTATAATCAACCCATAATCTTCTACAACAAAGCTAAATTACCAACTCATCTTGAGATATTGAAGGGCAAGCATAACATGATAGAGATGGTATACCAAATAGACATGTGCAAATTAGGACTTCAAAGGTGATGAGCTTATATAAGAAGGCAACAGGGGAAATTGGGCAACCAATGGCAATCAACTTAGGTGGTGAAATCCTCCCAAGTGAGTCATTTATTAATTTAATTATTTCTCCTCATAAAGTTTAATACAAATTGTAATATCTCATGTTATTTTCTATTATTTGATTTCTACTTTCAATTTCCATTTTCAGGAGATTGGTGGGAACAAATTGGGGGAAAGCTCCCAACCCTAAGTAATTCACCATATGTATTCTCAGCCAAACTTGCAGTGCAAGTGGCTGCAAGAAGAATTTGAGTATTTTCCAATGCATCCACATGGATAAGCAAAGTTAGAGAACAAGACGCTGAATGACTAGGACTTGCGCAATACAACCTCATCCTGAGGCAGAGGAAATATGCTCTTATTTGTTCTCCCATTCCTGTTCAATAATTGTCAAATTCTACATATGTTTAAAACTTCAAATGATAAGAAATTCTATAAAATGTAAGACCATGCAAACACCCATATGCTCGGATCCAATTGACTTGTAGAACAGCAATATTGTAGAAGAAGGCATTGAAGAGCAACTAGATACATGAATGGAAAAGGAACCACTTAAGGAGGCAAATTTAAGTTTTATGATATAATGTTTTAGCTTTAGGAACTTAATTTGGTTTCTTTCCTAGATTATATTAAGGGATTGTCTACAAAGAGAACATTTATCTTTTGTATACGGAGGTCACAATCATTCTTTTCCTTTAAATTTCAAAATGGGAGGTTGTAAAAGTGTCATTGAATAGACACAATTCTAAAAAAAAAAAGTTTCTCAATCTTTGTGACTTGCTCCAAACCATCCAATTTGATATCTAATGAGCGGGAATGATTGTGACCTTCATGTACAAAAGATAAATGGTCCCTTTGTAGACAATCCCTTATATTAATAGCTTACTGATTGTAAGAATTATTTACTCCTAGGCTTCTATGGTGCGTATGATTTGTCAATAAACATTTTGTAACTTGATAGTTTATAACTTGATTAGTAATATTTAATACTTCCCATAGATGGTGGAGATGATGATGATTTGGAGATCTATTAGAGAGGAAGTCAATGAAGAGACAGGTGGAAATGATGACGAAGGAGGGGATGAGAAGGAAGATGAATATTACTTACTACATAGGACTTTTTTTTAGCATTTTTTGATATGTGATAAGCTACATAATTTTGACAAACCAATTATTCCTCTATGGGACATGGAGTTGTGGACTTCTGGAGTAGTGGACTGGTTTTTTACTTTTCTTTCTATGCCTTGGCTCATCAATTCATGACTTTATGTTTTATGACTTTTTGCCTTCAATTTCATTGTTGTTGCTTAATGGGTTATTGGAAGGAACTGGGCTTGGGTCAAGACGGTAGAGACTGGGTTTCCATAGCACAACGTCTCAAGTTCCATTTCTATGTAACCTTGCCAAAAAAAAAAAAAGGGGTTTATTGGAGCGCATAATGACATATGGACATATATGAATTATAATTTTATTTCCCCTCCTCACAATTTAATTTCTTCTTATTTTTTAGATTTTTATTCTTTGGTCAATTTTTCTATTTTTCTAAATTTATTTTCCAATTTTTTGACGATATAAACGATGAATTGGTCTGGTCCTGCCGGACCAACCGAACCATTACCAACATGTTTCAAATTCCATAGCATATAAATCATTTTTGCTTTGCATAAACTCATGAAACATACAGTTAGAATAATTACTGCAAGCAATTACAGAAAAAGGGAATGAGACTAGGCCACAAGGCACCTATCAAAGCACACTGTGGCAAACAAACACATCATCAAATCATAGTGCACAACTAATTGATGCATCCAATAATTAACAAGCATGCCCTTCACAAAGCTATCAATTAAAACTAGTATATTTTCATATTTCTGAGTTTTCCATGACATTTTAATCATACAGAAGCACTCATAAGCATAGGATCTCATTTAACCAAAGGAATCAATGCGCTAAGACTCCTACATGCTTGAGAACAAGCAAACCAGTGTGAAGCCTGAAAAACTCACCCCTTCAAGTGTTGTTCTTGCAACTGCGTTTGGAGTTGATGATCAGCCAGAATTCCAGATGAGCCTAATGATGAAAGCTTTTCCTTGAGTGCCGCAGCTGCGAGCGATCACAAATTAGAATAGTTTATATTGAAAATGAGACTAAATTTATGAGTTATATTCTACAATATCCTCAATTAAGCTAATATAATTATGATACTTATTTCAAATTCTAATTTCTTTATCTTCAAATATAACTGAAAGGAAAAACAGAAACGGTTACGCGCAGAAACTTATACATGCCCAACATGCCATTGTCATACCATTTCAACAACATTACTGATACTGGATACTGCTAGGATACTTCCTTATGTCCTAACTATAAAATATATAAGATAAAATCAACAGAATAATGAGTTTTGATATGATAATAGCACAAAGTGCCATACTATAGAACATATAAGATGAATTAACTATGACACGCTGTGTGTATATCTGTTTGTGTGCATATATTTATGCACATATCTGTTTGTTATGTCAGTAAATCTGGATTCTTAAAATTTTATGCAAGGACCAATGAAACAAAAGAAAAATGACATAAATAAATGATTATGACAACAGCTGAGGATCCAAATACGAAAAGATTGAAAATCACAGCAATAATGGGAAATAAAACCGAAAAGATTACAATCCGTAAATTCTGCTTAAATTTTGGCAGAAGCATCAAGGATACAATCAGTACAATGAGGACTAGAATATGCAGTTCTGACAGAGAAAGTATGTCCAATGCTGACATTTGTGCAAGTGCATTATGTGACCAGTAATAAAAGCTAAATTGTTCTCCAAAAGTGGGACTTCTGCTCCCAAATATGGACACCTAGGTGATTCAGATTCAAACTTTACGCTGCCAGATTCCACGAAAGAATCTGCTACATCTGCAACAATGAATCTAACTTTTAAGAATACAAAGAAAATCAGGTCCTTGGATGTCCAACTTTCACAGAGATGAGAAATGGGGTGTTTGTCAAGGCTTTTCAAAAGATGCAGAGAAATACCATTATGCTCCCTGCAGCTCCAATTGGAAATAGACAATAGACCATCGACCTATTCTCACCACTTAAGAACTGAAGGACCGCAACTTCAATTTAAACCACCCAATTCTCTCCTCTAAGAAGACAACGACTCAAGCTGCCAGTGATTAAAAAACTAAATGCATATTAAAGAGTTGCAACATTACAAAGAGCGCCTCCTAAAAAGAGCGACAAAAAGCAAGCCTGTAAAAAGGCAACAAGATAGACCTACATGCAAATTATTAAATCTTGCCAAAAAGAAAGATATCTTTCACATTTTTAGATGTGTAAGTCATGGCAGTTGCATGTTTACACCTTGACTATATGCCTTCAGATATTATTGCTGATTAGGATGTATGGAAACAACAAAGAAACCAAAAAAAAATTGAACTTCATAAACTTAAAATGACTGGAAGCTATAAGTTTACGTCATCCCATGGTTACCACAAAAAGATCTTTGAATCAATTGCCACAGAACTTCATTTAGTAATCCAAAAGAGATTATTTGGTCAATGGAATAAAATCATTCAATTTATTTTTTAAAATAGAATAAGAAAGTGAAACAAATAGAAAACAGTAAATCTCGAAAGTTGTAGAAAAATTTAAGAATATGTAACCAGAAAAATCAAGCCTTGGCAAGATTAAGTAACAAAGAGATGTAGCTACCGAATGAATCCACCAAGGTTATACTCGTGTGGATAGTCAGCAAAACAACACAACGCCAATACACAGCGCTACAAAACTAACAACAGAATAAAAATAAGAGTAAAGAACAGGAAGACATTTACTTTTCATTAGGAAAAAAAAAAGAATCTAGACATGTTAAATATGCAACATTGAGCCTTGAAATTCTAGGTTTCCTAAGTTCCATTATAATAAAAATATTTCATCCATTTGAGAGAAGGAAAATGTGTCCTCTGGGTAAATAAAAGTAGCTCCCAAATATTAGATCAAAACCTGGGGGAAAAAAGGGGAGAGAGAGAGACTCTTATGGGTACGGCAAACCCTTACAAGGCCAACAGGCAAAAGAAGGGATCATGAGCAAGAAGGACAACAAAAAATTGAATGGCCACAAGGCTAAGGAAGCAGCACATAAAATACTGTGCAAGCAGGAAAAATTCATATGTATACACACAAGTAAACACCGTATATAATACACATTTATGAATATTACAGAATCCAATGAAGGGAAAATATCTCCATATCCCCTATTTTTAGGTTTCATTTCTTGATAAACCCAAGGTATCAAAAGATATCTTCTAAACCCCCGGCCACTTTAAACCTATTTTTTAACCTAAACAAATGTGAGAAAGACATGCTCTTTCTAAACCCAAGTCTTTCTCTCTCTTCACTTATATACCCCAAACTTCTCTCTTTCTCTCTCTTCCAGCATCTCTCACTCTCTGTCCTCCTATGTTATTCCAAACACCGCTCTCTCTCCCGGTAATCTCTCACCTCCATGAAGCCCTTCTCTCTCTCTCTAAAAGTTTGGGAGGATGGCTTTTAGAAAAGGCATGTCTTTTTAGATTTGTTTGGCCTGAATAAACAGGTTTAAATTAGCTCAAGGGGTTAGAAGAAATAAAATCTACAATTTTTATGCCCCAAGATATCTTTTAACACCATGGGTCTATTGTGAAATGAAACCTAAAAATAGGGGTTATGGAGATACTTTCTCTTCAATGAATATAACATAATAGATGCGTACATTATAATAATAAGTTATGATATACACATGTATACACAAGCACAATAATTTGTCATAATATGTTCCAATACATTTACACAATATCACCACAATAGATCAGTATGTAACACATAAAGTAGCTATGGTACTAGATAGCTTATATGTATGAATAAGGGCATGAGACACGTAGAGCCACTTTTTGTCGCACCCTGAAGTTTCATGCATTCACACTACAACCATACACTAAATGCCATACATATATATATAAACCTATATATTGGTATTTGAACAAATTTCTAGCATATTGACTAGTTATAAATAATCACCTGTGGATCCTCTAGCACTTTGTAGAACAGCAAAAAGTTGTTTCCTTCCTTCCCTAGTAAAAGACGCAGCCCTGTTCCTCAAACTGTCTCCACTTGCAGAGCTCTGAAATGTAAAAGTCATGTTGACTAAATTGACACCAACAGGCTGCACAACCACAAACTGAAAGTGAAAGCATACGTAACTGCAAATAGAATCATTGCTAAATTTAATTTTGGATGAACTGTTAGATTTTTTATTCTCGGCAAAGGATAAACAGCCTCCCCTCCTTGCTGAGAAAGTATCCGTGTGATATCGATTGGTTCAATTCCTGTAAAAACCAAAGGAAGTGAAATCCTTCTTTATAAAATTAAGAGGTTATTATTTTCAAGGCTAATAGTCCTACAGTACAAAACCAATTAGAAAATTCCAGTACAATGAATTAAATATGCAACAGAAATATATGAGCAGAAAAATCTTGAAATGCAGATGCCAAAAAATGCACAATACAAACTCAAAAAAATCCATCAAACAGTATAATACATGTTATTATATTTATGGAATAAGCACCCAAGTGGAACGTTCACGTTCTAGAATTATTTAACATGTAACACAAAGGCAAAAAGCATAAAGCAGACAAAGGGTGAATTGTTGCATTGATCTAGCCCTAGGATCTACCCCAAGAAGACACCATTAAAGCTGAAGAAAATTGCAGAACTCAAGGGGCTGACTCAGGGGGGGTCACTCATCCCTTTCTTGTTACCTATTATAGCAAGGGCCTTCAGTTGGTTAGCAGAGAGAGCTTTTTCACTGTAGGACAATCTCAGGTTTCAGTGTTGCACCTGGGAATCCTGTTAGCTCACGCCTAAACTATGCCCAAGGCACCTTTTTCTTTTGTTATACAGTCCCAAAGCAAGTTGAAAAACTATGATTCATTTGCAAGTGTTTGAGATTTTGAGAACATCAAGGGCCTTCATGATAATTTGGGAAAACAAAGTACCATTGCTAAGGTCGAAGTGAAGCAGAAGGGCACATGATCAATGCCAACTATCCTGGGTCAAGACACCATGACCTTCCCCAATCATTATTTAGGCCTCTCACTTTGAGCATGCAAGCCTATAAAGACTCAGGAATCCAGTAATACAGAAAGCCAAAAGGAGATCAGCACCTTCCTCTCCATAGCGGAGGAAGGATCACACTTATTAAGCCTACCCAAGGAAATCTGCTAGTGTATTTTGTTTATTTGCATATGTATGTTGCAGTTGGAGAGACTACAAATTGATTTTCTGTGGCATGGTAGTAAGAGTGGGAATTTCATCTCTTAAAACGTTTGTCATCCTAGGAATCTTAGAGAACTGAATGCAGTTGACAATCAAGCTGTCAGGGAAATGTCTGCAGGCTAGGTAATGCAAATTCCTATCAAGAAAACATAAAGATTTCTAAAAAATAACTTATGAATAGATTCAAAATTAAAGGAAGCTAACAAGCCTAGCTTCAATGGCTCTACAGAATTCAAGGAAACAAAGTTTCTAAAACAATAACTCAAACCCCAACCAAAACCTTGACTCATATAGCCTTTATTTGAACCTCCTAATCCTAATTCAATTAGAAATGGAAGTCCTGATTGAAACAGAATTCGTAATGACATTTTTACTCCTGATAAATCAAATAATAATATATTTACTCCTAATAATCAAAGATTCCATGTGCACTTTAACTACTTTATTAAACAACTCCTATAATCCTAAAAATGTATATAAAGAAAAAAAACCTACAATCCCTAAGAAAATTAAAAAACCCTAAAAATAAACCCAAATTTAAAATTAAAATATACTCCTTCGAAATCAAACAAAAATTAAAAATAAGAATAATTTTGTCATGCATCACTAAGGGAGGATAAGATGGGTCTCTGAAGGAAGTCATCAGAGGCAAGTAGGAAATACAAGGGCTTGTAAGGTCTATTCTCAAACTGTTTGTTGTGCATTGGTAGTGTGGGAAGAGGTGATAAAAAGGAAAAGAATGAATGGCAATCAGTCCTTCAATATTGGTAGGTTGGAGCTACTTCAGATCCATATGCTTTGGTTAGTGCCTGTCTCAAGAGGAGAGGTAGAAAAATATTGCAGCATCCCCCATTTAGCAAGGCATTGACAGAGACTTCTTTACACAATTCACATCACTTTGGGCCACCTAAATGACGTATAAATCCATAGTTACCTGAATGTCTCACCCAAAGTTGTAATTCCAATTAGGAATCCCTTTCCATGATCCCGACAAGGAATCGTTACGGAATCCGTTTCCATGAAGTTAGGGGGAACATGGAGCAAATAGTGGGGTGCACAATTGTGCACAAGCCACCACAATTGCGTGCAAAAAACCAACACTGTTTTCGCACGAATCGCACGTGTTGAGTTGAGCGCACGCGGTGTGCATGTGCACCAAATTTCGTACGGAGGGCAATTTGATGGCACTTCTTGCGCACGTGTTCGAGGGAACGTGGGGCAAATAGTAGGATGCACAATTGTACATAAGCCACCACAATTGAGCGCAAAAAACCGGCAATCTCAAATCTTTATTTTAGGAATCTCAATTCTAGCACTTACAGAATCTCATTCCCAATATTTAATCGATTCCGCAATTGTTGAATCTAGGTTCTTCATTTGTTGAATCAAGATTCCCAATATAACGATACTCAATTGGATTTTTTTTTATCTAGATTCCTAAATATCAAGTACTGTGGTTCCCAATGCAAGAAACAACGAACTAATCAAACATCAAATATTGCTTCCACCTCATACAATCCCAATCTAATTTTTTAGAATCATTATACAATAAAATCAAATACTAATGTTCTAGGTGCAGAAATCTGTGAATTATGGATTGGTTCAAATAATCATGGACTTTGATTTGAGTTAATTGGAAACCGGACTAAAGATGATTGCCTCCCATAGTTCATAAGTGCTACCATAGTTCAAAATCTCAATCACTCTCTATCCATGGGTGTGCTTCATGTTTTAGACTTGCAATTCTTCCTCTAATGCTCAGGTACAATGTGAATGTCAGCAAAATAAGGGAAAAAAAAAAAACAAATTAAAGAACATGGCATCCAAGATCATGAAGGCTTGCTATTTTTTTAAGGTTAACAAGGAATAGAGATTTAGGTTCGATTCAGACGCGGTTCTAATGGTGCTAGGACTGGCTCAAACCATGTTTCTAATGGGGCTAGGATTGACTGCCTCTTTTTAAGATATAATTGGCAAAGAGTTTTACAAAAAATAGACCTAGAACATAGACCACACCATAGCACAAAACAGGCCTATTTTGAATTATACTAATAAATCAAAAATTGCGTTTTAAAATACATGAGATGATATTTGTATCGTTTGTACATAACCCCCTGTGAACAAGAAGTATCTATTATCATTTGTACATAACCCCCTGTGAACAAGAAGTATCTATTAATTGACCTTACTTCTGATCCTGTGTCTTAAGCTCAATAGTCAATATACAGACTTCATATCTATCTACCGAACCCGTCTACGAGTACTCACCCAAAAAAAAACCCTTCTTCATGTCTTAGAGACCTTTGATCTCGATTTCTTGATGAGGTTCTAAGTTGTTAAGGCGCAAGATGTCATTGATGTAGAATCTTGATTCTAAAGGGGTTGAAACTCGACCTCCATAGAGTTACAAATCTCGATTGCCAAGTGGATCATTCCAAACTGATATGAATCTCGATTGCAAATTGGTATGAATCTCGATTCCAAAGATGTCGGAATCTCGATTCCATATATAAAGGAATATTGATTCCATATGGGTCGATTCCAAGTATGTTAGAAACTCAATTCCTAAGAGGTCGGGATCTCGATTACATATATGTAGGGATCTCGATTCCATTTGGGTCGAATCTTGAATTCTACAAAATAAGAATCTTGTTGCCCACGATTCCCTTTGTATAGACGTCGATTCTAAAAACAAGAATCTTCTAGCCAGCCGCAATTCTGCGATTCCCGATTCCTAAAATGATTCGGAATCTCAGGCATTTCCAACAACCATGCATAAATCTATGGAGGATTCTGTTTGTGGATACGGAAGGTCATTTCTTTGTAAGTTCTTCGGATGAAGTGACTTTGATGTTCAACTGTACCCCTTCTACCATGGTCTATGGGATCATTAGTCTAAATAAAATCCTCACAACGTATCATAGGGAACATCCTACGATCCAGTTCCTAGTGTATGCTTTATGTGATTATAGGAACACAGATGAGTCAATGGATCATCTCCTCATTCATTGCTTAGTACCGAGCAACATGTGATCACACTAATAGGGCTTTTGGTATTCATTAAGATTGACCAGAGGGAATAGTGGGCATTGTTGTTGGGTGGAGTTCTATCCGCCTATCTCTAAGCAGTCAGATTATGGCAGCTATCGCGATTGGACATTCTTAAGGGAATTAGAAAGAAAAGAGAAACTGGACTTTTAGAGAGCGGAGAACTATGTTTGATTTTCTTGTGCACACCCTAATTTACACCATCTCCTTCCACCAAACCTGTGGCTTAGGAGCGAATGCTTAGAAATTTGCCAAATCAACAAACCTCAATTACCCCGCGAACCTCAGCAGAATCTTATAAAACTTGCCGAGTCTCATCTGCTTCCCTTAGGTTTAGCAAGATTAGGCCGAGCCTCATAAGACTTGACCAAGTCAACAAAACTCAGCTCCATACCAGGCTGAGTAGCGCGCCAAGTCTGAATTTAGAAACATCGTTAGCAGCATTTAGAGATACAACTAATCAAAAGGGATTCCCATTTTCAGTTCCATTGAAGAAAAATGACGTTTAGCACAATAAAACAAGCAAGCAAAAAGCATTAGAAGTAAACCAGCACCCATGCACTAGGATTGCAGATCTCAACAGGCTTCACAAAGACGAGCAGAAACAGAAAAGACAATTGCCATTAACGATTTTAATTGAGTAAACATTTACCTGCACGTTCAAAAAAATTTGCTTGCATTGGCTGCCTATTCGGATTGATTATCACACGAGTTCTCCACACTTGGAGAGAGCCATCCTTTGAAAGAGTGAGAAGCAAGCGCAGCATAGGATGCCATGCAGTAGCAATTATTGGATGTGATCCAGCCTGTGTTCTGTAATTTGAAACAACCAAAAGCAGAAAAAATAATATTAACAGGAAGTAAGAACATACAAAAAAAGCATTATTAACTATTAATGACAATAAATAAATGTCAGACCCATATAAAATGAAACAAAACCCAGTCCTTCAAAAGCAACTAAATTACAGAAATAACAGTGTTACTAGCTCAACAGAGGTAACCAGCAATAACATTACACCACATGTAAATTGCATATGTAAGCAGACAGTACCTTATTGGCTATCATGTTACAACTTTCGGAAAAAGATTCTCCAGCAAATATCATCTAATAACATCCAAACCACGAAAGATGATGACCAATACAAGTCACATTAACTCCAAAACCAGGTTCTTAACAATCACAGCAATTTCAGTATTCAACAGTCCCTTTCAATCCCTGGTCAGAGATCTCATGAAGGAGCCTGCAGTTATGTCGGAACAAACTAACAACATGTAATGTATAAGTCTGATCAAATAACCCACCACCATATGAAATCAAAGTTACTTAAGGTAGTAGCCACTTATGGTGTCTTCTACATACAATAAACAGGTGATAGAAGGTCGTCTTCAGACGACTTAAAGCCTTGAAACAGATTGTCATCAAATAGGCTTGAGATCAATTAGCTGAACTTCGCCATGATGGCCAACAAAAAAGGTGATAGTGGGTGTCCTTGGTGGAGACCTCTCAAAATGACGAAGAATCCTTAGGAGGATCCATTGACTGCAACCAAAAACCATGGGGAAAAGGTACACCCCCTAATCCAGGTCCTCCACCTGTTACTGAAGCCCATCAAGTGTAGAACTTAGTCGAGAATGGCCCAGTGGACATGATCACAAGTCCTTTCCCAGTCTAGTTTGAGAACAAGGCTAGGGAGCTTGGGTTATCTAGTGAGGATGCACTCATGTGCAATCAATCAACGAACCATCCAGAATTTGGCAGTCTAGGACAAAAGCCCCTTGTGCGGGATAAATGACATGGATTAGCACATGTTGCATGCGCTAGGCAAGCACTTGACAGTATTTTTTATGTGTCTAATAGTGGCCCTACTATAGTCAAAGGGCTTCTCATATAAGATATGATATGGAGGACAGGATTGGCTCTTCCATGACAGTTCACAATCTTATGAAAGAATGTGGTGTTCCTATGTCTTTTTACCCATTTGATCCTAGATCTTTGATGCCGATATGAATAGATCTCCTTGTGCATTAGTAGTTCCTAAATTCCACTTCTGCCTCAACCATCCTAGCTCTCTCAACTGATGAGAGACATCTAGTTTCTTCTAAAAGTTCCAACTCATAAATTGCTTGCAATAGGGCCCCTTTCCTCCCCCGATGTTCAGAGATATTAAGTTAATCATTCAACAAATCAAATTTTTTGCCGCGTTGTCATAGTGAGATCAATTGATATGATTCACTGAAGTCAAGCCACTGAGACCAGATTGCTATCTAAAGGATAGCGATGTGGTCCAAAATGGGTTCTAAAAGGGATCTGAAGTGCAATCCCAAGAATTATTCATCTTACTAGGGGAAAATAATCTAATCTGCTTAGATGAATTCGGCTTGCAGCATGTTTGGACCATGTGAAAGAATAACCTTGGGGGAGAGACTGATCAAACAAGTTTCCATGACAAAATTCAAAAATCCACCATAGTAGTTGTGATACGGCCATTCCTGCTCTTCTCCAAAGACCACCTAGTAACATTAAAAATGCCGCCAAGGCACCAAGTGTGGGGGAGGAGAGGCTACCTGTGACGACCTAAAACTTTTGGTGCAAAAAAATAAAATAAAATAAAAATAAAAAATTAATAATAATAATAATAATATTAATGGTGTTAACAGAAATAAATACAAAATAAATAAATAAAATAATAATTATATATTAGTAATGATAATAATAATAATAATAATTTTATACCGCTAAGATATTGCTACTTTTATATTATCAATAAATAAAACGATATTATTGTTAATATACTTGAGGGTTCAATTTTATTTGGGTGGACCTTAAGTCCACCATCTTAAAACTTTATGTTAACACAAGCTTTTGTTTTTAACATGGCGGCTTTACATTCCTCTTATCTCGTTTGTAAAACACCTTGCATCTGAGGTGTTTCTATTTTATTCGACACTCTCTCTCTCTCTCTAGCATGGTTACTGTTTATGTTTAGGTAATGATGAATATGTGCTTCCTTTAAAAAAAAAAGATTGGGGATGTGAAAAAGAATGAGGTTGTCGATTTGGTATGCAAGGTAACTTTTGCAAACACTACTTTCATTTGCTCCTGTAAATCACAATCCATGTTAAGTTGATTTTATATGCTTTCTTTCCCTGGAAAAGATTTTTCATTCACATCGAGTCTCTAAAGAAAGTACCGATGTTTTTGTGTGGGATGGAACTGATGCTCCCCCAATTTCGGAGTTAATGTAAGGGATCTCATTGTCTCGAAGAATAATCTTTTTAGTAAAAATGGGGATATTTTATCTATTGTAAAATATTTTAAATACTGAAAATTACTAGAAATAAATGTGATATTTCC